CCGGAGCTCGAAAAATGGTATTCGGGAGAGTCCTAACACACACACACACACACACACACACACACACACACACACACACACACACACACACACACACACACACACACACACACACACACACACACACACCTTCCCTCAAATGACTACGGTAGCTTGTCTGACAAATTGAGCACATTTGTTCACAGGACAAATTTTCATTGAGCAACTGGGACTTCTCCCGTCTCCTGTTGTTTCTCATTCAGAGGTTTCCTCCCCTCTTTCTCTGTCTGTGGGTAGATTGTTTACAGCAGGAAGTGCCTGGCATCCCCTTACTTGGCATTGGGAGACAGTGACTTGGCTGGTGCCCGTAGCCCAACATCATTCACAGTCCCAGTGCCTGCTTCAATGTAATTCATGTGCTTTTGGGAGACATCCTTACCGGAATAGAGAGCATTTTTGTTGATTATTCCGTCTGTTTTTGATTACATCCTGGCTGGCCTCTGAGAGCTTGTGGACAATTTAGCCATCATTGCTAGATGGGTTAATGGGGCCTGAGCTGGAGGTTTATGTTGGAGTTCAAAACAGTAGGTTGGCTGAGATTTTTTGTTTTTACAGCAATGATTACTGCACATAAATGTTGGTGTGCTATTTCTCTTCCCATGTATGTGTGCGAGCATGCATGTGCCTAGAGGTTGACATTTGTGGTTTTGAGTTATTGAATGGATTGCATTGAAATTCGGCGCACATATTAATGAACTGATCAGTCTCGGCTGTCTTTTATGTTTACTGTTAAATAGCTAATCGTAGCTTCTAAACTACGATGATGATCTTGATGAACATTAAATAGCATCAACATGTTAGCGATTTCAAGTTAAACCACTGACATTTGCATTTAGCCTAACAGTAGCCTACCTATCATAGTTTTATCCTTGTAGTCTTATTCTAGTAAAGCTATAAATCATCAGATGTTTAATCCATCTCAGCTCATGCCAGTTTGAACAGACCAATCCCTGTTGTTTGCAGCAGTGATGTCGGACACACTGTAAAATAAATGATATTGGTTTCTTCAAGGTACAAACAGAATTTGTGCCCTTTGATCCTTAAGATGGATGTTGCATGGTCTGAATAGTGCTAGCTTCTGCATAAGTACTCCAATTGCTCCTGCTGATGTGCTAAGCCTACTGGGCCTGTTTGTGCTGGGTAAGCTTGTATTTCCTTGAGCATGCACCACCTGTCAGCTAGCAACACAAGTGTGTGTGTGTGTGTGTGTGTGTGTGTGTGTGTGTGTGTGTGTGTGTTCATGCATGGACCTTACAAGCCTGTCACNCATGATGCTGCCACCACCATGCTTCACTGTAGGGATGGTGTTGGCCAGGTGATGAGCGGTGACTGGTTTCCTCCAGACAGAAATGATGCTTGGCATTCAGGCCAAATTTGGTTTCATCAGACCAAACAATTTAGTTTATCATGGTCTGAGAGTACTCTACTGTAGGTGCTCCATGTGGGCTTTCATGTGCCTTTGGCTTCCTTCTGGCCACTCTACCATAAAGGCCTGATTTGTTGAGTTCTGCACAGATGGTTGTCCTTCTAGAAGGTTCTCCCATCTCCACAGAGGAACACTGGAGCTCTGTCAGAGTGACCATCGGGTTCTTGGTCACCTCTCTGACTAAGACCCTTCTCCCCCATTGCTCAGTTTGGTTTGGGCGGCCAGCTCTAGGAAAAGCCCTGGTGGTTTCAAACATCTTCCATTTGCAAATGATGGAAACCACTGTGCTCGTTGGGACGTTCAATGCTACAGACATTTGTCTGTACCCTTCCCCAGATCTGTGCCTTCATCCTGTCTCTGAGGTCTACAGACAATTCCTTGGACCTCATGACTTGGTTTGTGCTCTGATATGCACTGTCAACTGTCGGACCTTATATAGACAGGTGTGTTCCTTTCCAAGTCATGTCCAATCAATTGAATTTACTACAGGTGGATCAGTGGAAACGGGATGCACTTGAGCTCAATTTTCAGTGTCAAAGCAAAGGGTGTGAATACTTATGTACATGTGATATAACACATTTGCGAAAAATTCTTTAAAAACGTTTTCTATTTATCATTATGGGGTATTGTGTGTGGAATGTTGAGAAAAATAAATAATTTAATCCATTTTGAAATAAGGCTGTAACAACAAAATGAGAAAAAAGTTAAGGGGTATGAATACTTTCCGGATGCACTGTAGCTGACAACACAGTGAAGATTTAAGACAACAAATTGGACGGTCGTGGTGTTTGCAAAGCATTGGGAACACAGTATTCAGACAATGTGCATACAGGTCAGCGTTTTCAGAAACAAACAGAGGCTTTGCTTTGCATCCCGACGGCAACGCACTGCTAATGAATGTAAATGTCTAACCAACAGTATGCTATTAAAAAGACATGTTCAATTCTATAATTAAATGCAGCTTTTGTATAAACAGCTCTTTTGCTTACCTCTAACCCGTTGCACTGCATTATTCTGATGAAAACTTCACATCTTAGCCAGTTAATGTCTAACTAGGAACTATAAATATTGTGCCACACACAGTTTTGCCCATGGCTTATCTCTCATTATGAATATGTAAGTGTGTGCTTTTCCCTGTTGTTTTTGTGTATAAAGCAGTAATGCAAACCAAACTATTGTGGTTCTGAATATGAATCAAGACTCACAACACAGGCAAATTCACTTTTCATTAGGCCTTTAGTCGAACTAATAATCAAACTTCAGATGCTGTTATGACTGATAATGGCCTCTTGGCAGGAATTTATGTAAAGTGCTAAATTCATACGTAAATAAATGCTTACATTTTAATATATTTGGAGCGCAGAAAGCTTTTAGCGGAAATGAAACATGACTATTGTTTTGCCATTTTGAAAATGTGTAAATAGCATTGGGCAATTTTAAACTTTAATGACATAAACCCATGGGAATCAGCCTGATTCATAAGAAGATTCACAATAGCTCTAACTGGTACGAAGTTTTGTCTCAGAAACGCAGCCTGAATAACAATGTTTGGACCTGGTAGCCTCAAGCTAATACTGCTTGATTAAAATAATGACTAAACAAAATAACTGACTGACTATTGCAACTTAAAGTCACTGTGTGAAACATTAGTTTAGGCATGTGAACTAAATACGCACAAATGATGTAGCTTGCAAGGCTTTTAAGTATAATAATATTAAAAACAAACAAGTGTGTGAATGGCTTCATGGTCATTAACTGTGTGTTCATCCTATCACTTCCAACTGTTCGCCTCACTGCACACAAACTCTAAGACTATTCCAAAAAATGAACGATGAATCAATGTGTATATGATATCTGCAATATATACTGTGCAACAAACTCATAACTGTCATGGATTATCGAAGAAGCAGCCACTTTCTGTGGTCTGTCTGTTAGTATGAACATAGACAGTACAAGTACACACATGCACAGGACCTATACACATGAGGTCTGAATGCACACATGCTCAAACACATGCATCTTCTTTATGGAGCGGTGTCAGAGAAAACTGTCATGTTTTATGGCGCCATAGAGCAGTTGTGGATTTGGTGCATTGCTCAAGGACACGTCTTACTGGGACTTGAACCAGCGACCCAAGACAAGTCACTACAGACTGAGCTACAGCAGCTACTGACCTAGACATCTCCACTAACCATCTCTCTCACTCGACACAGCTGCTGGTGTGGCCAGAGAAGTCTCCAGAGGAGGTTATCGTGGTAACCATCACCCCGGACTACCCCGGTTCTCGCCACACGGGATTGGTCAGCGGACTGAAGAAATTCAACTGGTACTTTGGCTCCACCCTCTGCTTCACAACACCTGGAGACGGCCCCAGAAGCTCCCCCATTCTGCTGCAGACACATGAGGACAGTGAGTACACACACACACACACACACACACACACACACACACACACACACACACACACACACACACACACACACACACACACACACACACAAACACCCACTCATGCTTCAATGTGAATAAAGCCAGAAGAAAAAGAACGCCATCAGCCTCTCCTGTGAATAATAATGAAAGTGTTTTGATTTGCTCTGCGTTCAGTCCAGCTGTTTTGTATCAGTGTGAGTCACAGCTGTGAACACAATGTTTTCTCTCAGGCTCATACTTTCTTTAGTCTACTTTTTAATCTTTTTGTTCTTAGCTGCCCCCCCTTTTTTTTTTTTCGACTGTCTCTCTTTAAAGGGAAATCATTTCTATGTTTCCAGGCATACTGGTATTTATAGCCTACTGTTCCATGGATAAACATAATAGCTGCCACTCCCAGTTGCAAGTACACATGCACACAGTCGCACCATCAAATAAACACAATAGCCTATAGCCAGACCGACAAGCAATTATTACCAACCAGCAATTATCGAGTGGGAAAGGGATATTAGAAGACGTGTGTGTACACACACACACACGCACACACTCTCACAGCGCCATGGACTGGTATTGATTGGGTGCTGGGCGGGTTTCAGGGTTAACGGTGGGTGTAATTCTTGCTTGATGATAGCTTTTTCCGTGTGTGTGTGTGTGTGTGTGTGTGTGAGTGTTATTGAATGTCTCAGATGAATAGCTTAATCGCTCTGCAGGGAGAGTGGTTAGAGAGCACTACATGAAATGAGAAATGACAGGCATGCTTGCACCTGACTGCATGTGTGTGAGTGGTGGTCAATGCTGACGTGATTAGGAGGTGTGTGAGTTGAAGGGCAGAAATTAATGGGCTGCATATACAATGGGTTTGTGTGCTTTGTGTGGATGGCATGATTTCCTAAAACAGTACTGCTGATTTCATTAAAATATTACTCATTAAATCTGATGTATGTTTTTTCCAGCACCTGGACCTGTTCGTCACCTGAGCTTCACTGAAATCCTGGACACGTCTCTCAGAGTCAGCTGGGCGGAGCCTGAAGATAAGAACGGCATCATCACCGGTAAAAGCATTTTTCACTCATGCACTCCTCCACCACCTCCATCTTTCTTCTATAATCAAGAAACTTTCATTTTAAGACATTATTTTCAGTCTCCCTAACAGCTGTGGTAAGATGAGCTTAAATTAAGGTAGTATGTTTTTGCCAGAAAGTAAAATGCACAATGATAAAACATTATGTGCCCAGCGTTTCCAATTAAAAAGGATTCTTCACAGGTGGACCAAAACACTGTGGAGAATAACAAATTGAACTGAAAAAGCGGCAAGCATCCCCTTGAGGCAGCAGTGAGCAAGGAAGCCTAAAACTTTTATATTTTCTTCTGAAATTTTCACTTAGTCTTTTATTTAGTGTCTAAATAAAACCCCTTGTCTCTGACACTGTATGTGTACAACTGATTCATCATCAGCTAATCCCTTCTCTCTGCAGCTTGTCTTCTCACATTATCTCCAACATGCCCTCATCCCACGCATCCCAACACCCAGGGTGGTTGTTTGTGTGGCGCATCACAGAGCTTAAGGCACTTTTCTCCCAAAATGTTTTTCTCCTCAGCTCGTCCACAGCTCTGTTCAAAGAATGGTGCTGTGAATTTTGCGATTACACTACATTTTGTGTGTGTGTCTGTATCATGGTCTGTACTATGCATACATTATTATGTATGTGTGTGCTGTCGACATGGCCGCACCATGCCGGACATTTATCAGGCACCTACACAACAAGATCACAGTGTAACAGTGTAACAGCGGCTTTACAGAGTGCTTACACATTGTGTGTAAGGGGGGGGGGGTGGAAACAGTTATTTAATGAAGGTCACCTTCCACATTTACTCTTTTCTCCTCAACCTGCTTTCGTCCAGCTCCAGGTGAGCACAGAGACAGATGAGGGACCATTCACCCTCTTCAGGGCTTTACCTACAAGTGGCATCCCACACACACACACACACACACACACACACACACACACACACACACACACACACACACACACACACACACACACACACACACACACAGACGCACACACACACACACACGTAATTGAAGGTGGTGGAGTGTGATGCATGACTGTGAAGATGTGTACGGACAGATGGGGATTTTCTCTGTAGTAACCCTTCCCTCCCTCTCTTCCTCCTTTTTGGCTCTGAACCTTTCATTATACTGTGTGTGCGTGTGTTTGTGTGCACACATGTCCGCTCATGTCTATGTTCACCTTTATTAACCCAGTGTGTGCTCTACACCCTACAGGCTACGTGTTGTGGTGGGAAGTGCCAGGCGTAGAGTCGGGTCGGGTGGAACGCACACTCTCAAACTCCACCCTGCAGCACCAGCTGACTGGCCTCACCTCCACCACACTGTACACACTCCAGGTGGCCGCGCTCACTGCCGCAGGACGGGGCGTGGTCACACCCTCCACCATCTCCACTGGAGTCCCACCAGGTACAATAAACACTCCCTCTGATTCTCTCTTGTGTTCGGGTAGCAGAGTAAATATGAGTTATTATCTCGCTCGATGCCATTGTCTTTCCTCAGGCAGATAAGTGGCTGTTATTGTGCATCCATGAATCATCACCCACACAAGCAACACACACTTTCACATGCACTGTCACATCTAAGTTAGTCATTTACAGCTTATCTGAGAGCGTGTTGGTGTGTGGTGTAATGTGTGTACTCCATGTGCACGCCATGCTTGTGTTCATGATGAGTTTGCACGATTGGACTTAGGCCAAGTTACGATCATTATTATTAGTGCTGATTAACTGCAAATGGCAATGTGGAGTGAATGCAGAGATGGGAGAGAAAGGGCGAGAGACAATCAAAGAGCACGGCTGAAGAAGAAGAGTAGATAGAGAAACACAACAAGGACAGAACAGAGGAAAACGCATATCCCAAGAACACAAGAACCTAGTCCCTCAGAAATTGACTGAGAGGAAGAGGAGGAAAAGGAAAGAACAACTTTGCTCGTACGGCGGAATCTTTATCCTAACATTTTCTGATGACTAATTTATGAATAAAAGCAGAAAAAGTGAAAGCAAGATGGATACAGACATTTCTTAGATTCTGAAGTTATTCATTAATTCATGAAAGCAAAAGACTGAAGGAAAGACGGAGGACTGGATATTAGGAAAAAGAACTAAAGAAAGAGAAGAGAGAGAGAAAAAGAGAGATCTACCCAGCATAGATTCTTGTCTTGTTTATTTATTCATGAATTCATGGAGAGAGAGAGTTTTGTCATTCATCTGAGCAAGGCAGCTGATATCAACATGTCCACATTATAACCCTTTACAAGTTTGCTGCATGCACTTTCAGAGCAATAGTGGCTGAAAGCTATCATTTGTCGTTTGTTGCTCACATGTTCCTCTTTCTATCCGGAATACATATTCAATGGTTTCCATAATAACAGAGTCATGTTATGTATTCTTTTTAATATACAAAGAAATCAAAGATTCTATATAATCTATCTGATGCCTCCAGTGTTGTGGCGCGTTACAACAAACGGCCTTTGATTGAAAACACTGGCTTTACATCTTTATTCTGCCATGTTCAGCAAATATGATGCTTGTGATGCTGCAGCGGGATGGATTACAGCCGCACTTACAACATGAAGGGATACAAAGTGTCAACCAACACAGTGGAGAGGAGTGGCTGGAGAGAGGGTCTGAAGTGCTCGGGCTTGTGATGAGTGAGACAATTTAGAGCAAAGTGGAGTGTGATGATGCTTGATTATGCAAATCTCATTAACAGAAACTTGGAGTCATGTTTTTCATTTGTTTGGACATCATTTAAAAAGAAAAACAGGATTCAAGCCCACACTCAGTCGTCCAACGTGCTGCCTGCCTGACCGATGCAGTCAGGGAGGAAGTCCATTCAGAGCCAGCTGTAAATTGTGTGTGGCATTTGAAAGGTGGAGTTGTAAACCTTTTATTGGAATATTTAGTTCTGGTTGAAGTGTGCATACAAAACGTATTATTATTCTACTTTGATTTATTCCAGTTTACAATAAAAGAAAAACTCACCACCGTGGGGAAATAATTTAGAATAATAAAAGTCCTCCGGGCTGCTTGTTGTTGACCAAATTGAAGGCAGCTCTCAGCGTGAATGTGACAAAAGAAACTATTCAAACGTTCAGGCAATGATGTTTAGCAGCACATGCAAAGGGACAAACTGCACCAATAATACTACCATCGTTTTCTTTGTACATTAAGTTTAATAACTCGATTTACAATTATTTTTCTTCTATTTATTGATTTGTAAGGTTCAAGGTTCTTTATTTAGTCATACGAACATAGCTACAGTGTAGTTGTGCCGATGAAAATCTTGTGTCACAGGCTTCTCCAACAGAGCAACACAAAACACAGATAAAAAAATATATAGTGCAAGTAAATAGTAAATGGTAATACAAAAAGAAAAATAGTTTGAAATAGTGCAATAAGAGTCTAGTCAAGTTATTGAAATAGGATATATAGGTAAATAGATAAATAATCTTTCAATCATTTTTAAGTAGCATTTAGATGAATATTAGGGATGTTATTTCAACTGTTCAGGTGTTTAACAGATTTTGTTTCAACAGTTCAGGTGTTTAACAGTCTTATTGCCTGTGTGAGTCCGGATGCAGCGGTAGCGCCTGCAAGACGGCAGCAGACTGAACAGTTTGTGGCTGGGGTGATGGGGGTCTTTTATAATCCGGAGGGATTTCTTCCTGAGCCGCTGGGAGTAAAGGTCCTCCATGGATGGCAGCTCCGTCCTGGTGATGTTCTGTGCAGTTTTCACCACCCTCTGTAAAGCCTTACGGTTGAGGGCGGTGCAGCTGCCGTACCACGCCGTGATGCAGCCAGTCGGGATACTCTCTATGGTGCACCTGTAGAAGTTGCAGAGTATCCTGGAGTCCGTGTTGAACCTCCTCAGCCTGCGGAGGAAGAAGAGCCGCTGTCGTAATTATCTTAGAAAGAAATAAGTTGATGTTTTCTGCATTTTAATAACATTTCTTTGTGGGAGGATGGGAACTGGAAGATAAAAAATAGTATTTTGTCAGCTTTGTGTGGACATGTTTTTATACTTTAGATGTATTGGGTTTGGAACGACTTTTTCAGTCAGTCAACCAGATGCACCTTGAAATGGACAAAACATTCTGGATTGAGGGGGTTTCTAAGCCAAACGCTCACATGTTTTTAGCTTCTCTTTTCTCTCCAGAGTGGTTATGTCATTCAGGCTGCCATCACTGGTCAGCCACTTTGCACGGTTCCTAGCTTTCACTCACTATTGCCACGGAGATGGAAGAATGTTGGAATAAGAATAATGAACCCATATGTATGAGCCCTGCTGCATACTCAAAACGTTTACAGCCTTAGATGTATTTTAGTGAACTGTGCATTTCATTCACGTCTCGCCTCCACTGGTGTTCAGATTTATCTCTCTGTATTGTATTGTTGACCTTGGAAATATGAATTAAATTGCTTTGACCAAGAGAGCTATTCAGCTGTGGCATAAGTGGCCGTACTTAAGTAAAATTTACATTTTTCCTCTGTGTAACAAATCTCTTATTTTCCTTTTCATGGCCAAGCAAGGGCCCATAGACATTTTTAAAAAGGACTGGAAGCATTTTCTTGGCTCATTCTAACTTAAAGCCTTTATATTTGAGTCATTAATGGCGACAGGACTTTTCTCATTAGGTTACCAATTTGTATTGCAGGTGTTTTACTGATGAGCCATGTTGCAGTTTTATTTTTATGAGTTTTGGCAATGTACCTATTTTTATCCCTACATTGAACTGTCGTTATAAAACATTATTTGTCTTCTTCATTGCTTTTGATTGGTCCGTTTGAAAGAGTGTGCCATGCTGTGATGCTGCAGTCCTTCTCTGCTTGAACAAAACCTTTTTATTTCAAATTGAATGCTAATGGCACCTCGCTGCAGCAGCACCAGCAGTCAACTATTCACACATCACAAATAACAGTATTATAAGTGCTAAATCCTGCGGTTTTTTGTCCAATAATGGTATTGTACTTACCTGTAAGAATACATAACATGCTTAATACATATGGAGAAAAGTGACCTCCAAGTACTAGCTGCATGATAGCACAATTATATGTAGTTCTTTGTTCTTTGCTGGCGGTGGTGGCGAAGTCCATAGGGACTTGGCTTGGCAACTAGAAGGTCACCAGTTCAAGTCCCGGAAAGACCAAGTGCTCCCGAGGTGTCCCTGAGCAAGACACCGTTTCCTACACTGCTCCCCGGGTGCCGTACATAATGGCAGCCCACTGCTCCTACCTAACACTAGGATGGGTCAAATGCAGAGAAACCATTTTGTTTACATAAGTTGAATCTTAATCTTGTAGCTTTGAATAAAGCAGTATTCTGTTTGTTTTCTATCTGCAGAGCTTCCTGGTTCCCCATCTAACTTAGTCATCTCCAACATCAGCCCTCGCACAGCAACACTCCGGTTTCGCCCTGGTTCTGATGGCAAGACTGGCATATCGCAATGGATCGTAGAAGGCCAGGTGTGTGTGTCCTTGTTAGTGTTTCTGCACTTTTTGTAAAACTTGGCTGAAAATGTTAAGTCCTTAAACGGATAAATTAGTTAACATTTTAACACTTCCAGTTCCCTTTTTTCTCAGTCAATGGTATTCATTTTATCCAAAGTGACTTACATACATTCAGTACTGTGGGCAATCCCCACAGGAGCAATTTGGGGTGAAGTGTCTTGATGCTGACTGCAGTGGGACTCAAACTTGCTACCCCCTGATTTGAAGTCCAACAGCATTCACACGTGTTTGTGGTCAGATGCCTGAAATAAGAGCTGTGGTTAACACATGCTTAACAAATGTTCACCTTTGCAATACGACAGACAGTATTTTCCCTCTCCTTAATGTCCGAAGCTTCTATATATGGTTAAAAGTCACGTGACTTAAAAAGCATAATTAACAATATCAAGACGTTTTTCTGGTGCGGGACCTTTTTTTTTCTTACATTTCGGGCTGTCTTCAAAAATACGTCATTACTGCACCACCTGTTCTTATAACATACAATATCCTTTTTGAACAGGTTGTTAAGGACGATAGAAAGGAGGACATATGGACTGTTGTCTACCAGAAAGACAACCAGCCTGATGCGGACAGTGTGGAGATTCCCGACCTCTCTCCATACACCAAGTACAGGTTAGCAACACACACACACACACACACACACACACACACACACACACACACACACACACACACACACACACACACACACACTCTCTCTCTCTCTCTCAAACACACACACACACACACACATACACACACACACACACACACACACACACACACACACACACACACACACACACACACACACACACACACATACAAGGACACAGTCAAATGCTTCCACTTGCAAACACACACACACACCCGCACAAACTCACTCACACACATCTCACTCTCCGCCAGTTTCTGCAGTATTGCAAGACTCAGGTGAAGTTAGATAAATCACACAGACACACGGAGAGGCAGTTCCATCTGAGACTTTTCTGTTTGTCAGCACCTTCACAGCTGCTGCATGCAGATCCTTATTACCCTCCTGCAACTAGCTAGAGGGAAGGAGCGGGGGGGAGAAGGATGAGGGCAGGGGAAAAGAAAGGTGATGAGAAGATGGGAAGGGCAGCGGAGAGCATTAAAGGGGAGAAGAGACAAGGGAAAGGAAGAGTGACTTTAATCCCTGCTCAAGTGCCGTGGGGAGCCTGGAGTTTATAAACGTGATCCATCGTCACTGAACAGCAGTAACACTTCCTCCTCTTCTCTCCCTTTTTTTTTTTTTAAATCAATCAATTTATTTTCTGTATGTTTCAGTCTCTCTCTGCCTCTTGCTCTCTGTATCGCTGCCTTCATCTGTAATGGGATCGCAATGTGTGTGTGCACATGTTGTACACTCACAGGGATTATGTTGTCACAGGCGACACCATTGGGACAATAGATGAAGTGATGCACTGGTCTGTGTTTCAAACCCACGCCTTAAGAAGTGCTCTCAATCTCCCACACACACACACACACACACACACACACACACACACACACACACACACACACTC